ATGTTACCCAAATTCAAGGCCTTCGGCTTCTTCATATTAAATCCAAGGTTAATATATGAAATTGCCTTTTCTTCTTAATAAGTAAACAAAACTTAAGGCAAAACACGTAAGTCTTTTTATCACAGATTTTTAAAAAAACAAGAAACAAATACTTATCTATCAAAAATAGTTTTGATTACCTTCAAGTTGGGTGTAATTTCATGCCTAAGCTAAGTGAGTAATAAATAGTGCAGCTCTTCTACTGGTAAAGAAAGGCAACACTTCATTATTTATACTCATTGTTTATTAACCATTTTAACAAGCTTTTCAGCTTTATATCCTACTGTTCCCTTCCAGGTACCTTGATGCTCCACACAGACTGCAATGCAATTGTTTGCTAAACATGTCTAACACCTTCCCATCTCTGTGCTTTGGTTCATCCGATTTCTTTTACCAAAAATGTATCTTCTGCCCCACCACACTGCTCTTAGCCCACCAGAATTTTATTTCACTTAGGACTGTTCAACGGGGCGCCAGGGTGGCTCAGTTGGTTAAGCGTCTGCCTTAGGCTCAGGTCATGATCCCAGGACATGAGGCTCTGTGCTCAGGGCGGAGCCTGCTTCTCCCTCTCCCTCTGCCCGCCACTCACCCTGCTTGTGCTCTCTCTCTCATCCAAATAGATGGATGAAATCTTAAAAAAAAAAAAAACTGTTCAACAGTGTATCATAAAGTTATAGTCTGCCTGACTGTAATTAAGAAGATCGTGCATAATTACAGGCATACCTCATTTTATTGCTTCTCACAGATATTGTGGGTTTTTACAAATTGAAGGTTTGTGGCAACCCTGTGTCAAGTGACTCAGTGCTATTTTTCCAGCAGCATTTGTTCACTTTGTGTCTGTGTGTCACATTTTGGTAATTCTTGCGGTCTTTCAAACTTTTTCATTACGATGATGATGATGATCAGTGATTAGGACTCGCTGAAAGCTCAGATGATGGTTAGCATTTTTTAGCCATAAAGTATTTTTAAATTAAGGTATGTACATTGTTTCCTTAGTTGTAATGCTATTGGACACTTAATAGAGTACAGTATAGTGTAAACATAACTTTTATATGCACTGGGAAACCAAAAATTGATTTGACTCTCCTTATTGTGAAATTCACTTAATCGCAGTGGTCTGTAACCAAACCTGCAATATGTCTGAAGTATGCCTGTGTCTGCTAATAATATTATAGATTTGTGAATTTGATAAAAAGTTGCCATGTATGAGCTCTAAGATCCCATATAGTCTAAAATATTTTATAATTCTGTAATTCCCCTTAACATATATAACAGTGGGAAAATGTAACTATTTTTAGTAAGGGTAGAAAAATATTTCAGATGTAAATACTGTATTTAGGTCTATAATTAATTAATGATACTTATAAATTAAGTTATATGTTAATTTTAAAAAATTTACAACTTGTGTCCATAAATAATTTAAATAAGATTTTGGGAATATATTGCCAAGAGAAATATGTTTTAAATGTTTATCTTGTAACGCTATTTGAAACATTTTGCAGAGTAGAAAATGTTGAGGAGGGAGTATTCAGTTTTTTTTATGTTTACTATTTCAAGATTATTATCACAGTATTTCAATCAGAAATGAGTAAAAGTAACACTATTCATTAAAATGAGTTTGGTGAGGGGCGCCTGGGTGGCTCAGTTGGTTAAGCGTCAGCCTTCAGCTCAGGTCATGATCCCAGGGTCCTGGGCTGGAGCCCTGCATTGGGCTCCTTGCTCAGAGGGGAGCCTGCTTCTCCCTCTACCCTTGCTCATGCTCTCTCCTGCTATTTCTCTCTCTCAAATAAATAAAATCTTAAAAAAATAAAATAAAATTAGTTTGGTGAATTTTATCCTAAATCAACCCAGATAAAAAGGTGGGGGAGGGGAAAAGACCCTTTCAATATTAGGGGAATTAGAATCCATTTTATTGCCAACCAGCCCCCAACCGAGTCCCATAAATCTGGGCCTGGAGACCTTTGGAATCTAGGGGAACCTTTTAACTGTGCTAAGTAAAAATTGACATTTAAGCCTTGAATATATCTCATCTATATTGGAATTAAAAATATCATTTGTTATAAAAATCAGATTGTGAAGTAGTTGATTATGTGAAAAATTAAAGATCAACCATACAAAGTAATGTTCTCAAGAATAATAAATTTATATAGTTTATTACTAGAAACTAGTTATATCTTTTTATATACAGAATATTTTCTTTCAGATTTGCTTTGCTTTTTTTTTTTTTAAAGATTTTACTTATTTATTTGACAGAGAGAGACAGTGAAAGAGGGAACACAAGTAGGGGGAGTGGGAGGGGGAGAAGCAGGCTTCCCGCTGAGCAGGGAGCCTGATGCGGGGCTGGATCCCAGGACCCTGGGATCATGACCTGAGCCGAAGGCAGATGCTTAACAACTGAGCCACCCAGGCGCCCCATCAGATTTGCTTTTAAGGAAAACAAAAATAGTATAAAATAATAAAAATAAATAATAAAATACATTTGGATACAAATCACATTTTATTTACCAGGGCATTGTAGTAATTACAGGTAAAACATTTCAAGAATCTAAATTATCCTTTAAATATTTACATGAAAAGTGACAAAATTCCTACCAGATAAGTTGGAAGCATTTATTTACAACCTAAACTTTTAAAAATAGCCAAAACGAGTAAAAGGCTATTATATAATTTTTAACTTTTTTAGATCATTGATCTCTTTGAGGATCTGATGGAAGTTGTAGAATTTTTCCCCCAGAAAAATGCACATACTAAAGCCTGTCTATGGACTGAGTATTTATTCAATATATATTAATTGAATGCCTCTTGTGTCCCAGGGACCCAGAAGTAAACAGAAGCACAAGCTACTTTTGCTCATGGAGTTTACATCATAGAGATGAAGACAAAAAATTTGCAAAGTCAATAATCCATAAGATAATTACAGGTTATGATATGTGCCATAATTGATTTCATTTAAGAGAACCCCGAATATAGGACAAGGGATAAACCTCAAATCTGAAGAGGTAATACTACTATGGTAATTTTTTTTAAAGAATCCATTTTATATCTCATAAGAAGATATCATGTAACAAAGAAAACTTGAAAAATATGTATGAAATCAAACAAATACTACAAACAGCATAACAGGTGAGTGTATGAACTTTTAAAACCTGAGATAATGGACTTTGTGACATAGTTGAATGCTGTTGCAGACAGCAGGATATAATCTGTTAGTATAGTTCATAAAGCAATTTTACAATTCATTCGGCTTTCAGAAAATCAGGGGTAACCTCCTAAAGTGCAAACATATTCTGTCATATCCTATTGCTTGCAATGCTAGGGGCTGGGCTTTTTAAACTTATCCATGGAAAATGCACCAAGACTAAAGATGATGAAAGGAAAAAGACAATTAGAAAATACCAGCTAGTTGAGGTTAACAAGTTAGTGTTTATTTCTGTAAACATTTTTATTTAAAAAAATGTTTCTTCTATTTTTCTTTGAATTTTCCCTCCTGTGTGTCTCACAAGGAAGTCATGCTTTGTTTATAAAGATCTGTAGTGATTTGGTGGGCTGAAAAATGAAGAGTTTTCTAAAATGTCCTTTATCGTTAGCATGTTAAAACTTACTTTTATTGTGCTTACAGCTTATGTAACCACTATTAAAATTCAAATGTAAAGAGATTTCTTTTTAACTTATGTATACTACAGAAGAAATTGGAAGAGCATGACGAGAATTTGACAAAGTATCCTGCCATGGTACGATCCACTATGTCCAATTACAGTACTCTTCTCAAACTACTGCTTGTTCTCTTTCTCAAAAAATCTCCTTAGCAAACAATAAAAACTCCCTTCAGAAAAACTAATTCAGCTATAAAGTTGAATTTTATTTTTCTTAAAGATTTATTTAGAGAGAAGGCACATGCAAGTGGGGGGAGGGGCAGAGGGAGAGGGAGAGAAGCAGACTCCCCAACTTGGGCTTCATCTCAGGACCCCGAGATCATGACCCCAGCCGAAACCAAGAGTCAGACGCTTAATGGACTGACCCACCCAGGTGCCCCTAAAGTTGAATTTTAAAAATTGGTTCTTACTCATGTCCAGATTAAACAGGTTTTAAATCTAGAGAAGACATTCTTTGTTAACAAAAATGAAATTGCTTTGCCAATAAAAAATCTTTGCTGTATAGAATTGTGTTATCATATACTCAAAATAAAAACATTCTAGAATTTACTCATCCTTATGGAATGTTTTATGAAAATTTTCTTTTAAATTATACTTGTATCACTGAATTTTTATGTTGTCTTTGAAAGAAACATTTAATAAAGATTATATATAAAGAAAGCTAGTAAATAAAAATAATTATGTAAATCTGCTGTAGTAGCATGGCTTTATCTTAGGTCTTAAAATGAGTTTCTGGCAGACCTAGTTTTGCAATTCATGGCATTTTATCTTTTTTTTTTAATTAGGCTCCACCCCCAACGTGGGGCTTGAACTCACAACCCTGAGATTAAGAGCGCTCTACCTACTGAGCCAGCCAGCCCCCCCATCATGGCATTTTAAAATTACAAAATGAAATGTCCATATATTTATATACCTTGAAAAAAATACTTATTCCTAATAATTATGTTTAATTCCTGAAACAATGAATTAGCAAAGTCAACTACCTATAATACTATTGGCCAGAGTTTGCTGAAACATATTTTATTCGTAAGTTTCTTTAAAAAAAAAAGATTTTATTTATGTATTTATTTTAGAGTGAGCAAGCATGAGCGAGGGGAGGGAGCAGGAGAGGGACAGAATCTCAAGCAGACTCCTGCTGAGCATGAGTCTAATGGTGGGGCTGGATCTCATGACCCTGAGATGATGACCTGAGCCAAAACCAAGAGTTGGATGCTTAACTGTCTGAGCCATTCAGGCACCCCTATTCATAAGTTTCTTAAAGAAATATTATGAAACTTTTCACTAATAAAAGTACAGTGTCAGAATGATCATAACTGAAGCTCAAAGTCAGCTGGAACCCTAAAGAATTTTTTCAGTGTCTTCTATTTCTGAAAACAGTACTCTGATTTTGAATAAAATGCTTCAGAGGAAAAGCCTGCTAGCCTGAAAATCCTAGGAATATTTTATAAATCTCTATCGGATAATATAGAGACAAATGCATAGAAGGCAAACAAAACACCCTTCAATTCTGAATTTGGCTTTTATTTTAAAATACACTTAGCATGGAACTATTATAGGACAGAAAGTAATAAACCACAAAGAAATGGAATATTTTCAAGTACCTTTTAAGCTAGATATAAAAATTAATAAGATAGCATAGACCCAAATTATGGGAAATAGTCCCTAAAATTCATTAAACACATTTTGAGAGAAAAGTTCTTTGCACATTTTCCAACGTACCGATATGTTCCTAAGTGCCTTTGTTTCCTACTAATAGGTAAAGTTTCCAAATTTAGTTGCTTTATTTAAAATTATCAGATTCAATGTTGGTAAAAATTACCATGTCCCTAAATTCTCAATCAGAATTATAAAAATATGAGCTTAAATAGTTATGCTGTCCAAAATAGAAACATCTTAAGTGATAATTCTGGATAATCAGACAGATATTGCACTAAAGTCAGTAATTCCATACCTGATGCTCATTTATATGGAAAGTTAATTCTCTTCTTTATGAAAAACTTACTACAAATGAACTTAATGTTAACCTAACTACAATTACACTTCAAAATATAAAGGCACAGACTGAAGAATAAAGAATAGTTTAATACAATACCCAAATTTTCCACTGTGAAAATAATAAAAATTGAAAAAATAATAGGATCTGAAATACTGATACTTTTAGATTTTATAATTTACCTTAAGTAGCTAATAAATGGGTATTAAAAGTTAACACTGCTAAATCCAATCCTTTCCAAATAATTTAGAAAAACGGTTTGTTTACAAATGAAGCATGTGCATTGTCCCATCTATAAATTTCAATTACATTTCCATTCATTGGAAATATCTACCTGCAGTATAAACAATCAAGACAATGTACAAAAAATATATCTTGTTCCTATAACTTACAATGCACAGAAAAATACCTACAAAAATGGAAATATTTATCCATTCAGCTTCCCAATAAATTAGTGAGAAAGTTTAGCCCATTCCACATTTCTTTCCAAACAAAGGCTAAAGAATTGAGGGTGGCTTACTTCTAGCCCTGTTAGTTTGACATGTATTTTAAAAATATTTGCCTGATTATATGTAACTTAAGATAAAGTTAGCATCTTATTTTTATATCACAGTATACATGGCATTTCTTAATTCAGCAACAGAAAGGCACAATTAGCAAGCAATAAAATTCAGTACCTGAATTATTAAATTGATGTCCAGAACAACTGCAAATAAAGTACATTCAACACAGTGTAAAGAACTAAAAAAAAAAAAAAGGAATAAAAAAACTTTTTTTTTTCTGAATTTCTGAAAATTTGGTCCATTAAAAATGCCTCCCATGTTCAACATCATGGGTAACATGAAAGGTGATGGCAGTGTAAAAAGAGGCAGTAAATCATTATGTGGTGGCATATGAATTCTGGCCTAGTAATTATGCAATTCAATTAGGAAATGGCTCCCATAGTAAATAAATGTTAAATATATCTGTTAATAACAATGTGCCTGTATTAAGTCCAGATATACAAGTACACTGTTTGCATATTATTATTGATTTTATAATACAGCCCCACAGTTTAAAATAACTTAGGTATATTATTTCACATATAACACATATTAGATACATAATTGTATATTATGTATCTTAATATATATTATATATAACTCCAATTCATAACAGCATAAAACTCTCCAAACATTACATGAACATTCTAAATGGATACTTATCATTTTCTCTCTGTTAAAACAGCTCAGCTCACCTAAAACAATATCTGGATGTGCAATGATAAAATGCACTGACTCTTACAACTTTACTTAAATAATTATTTAAGTTAAATTTCTGCAAAAGCCTAACTCTGATTTGGCTTTTAACTAGAATATATTTTTAGATATTGGTAACTGATACCCTCCTTTCTTACAAACAGTATTTCTCCATCAAGAGATACCAATAAAAAAAAATATGTAAGGAATCAAAAATGTGATAGAGAAACCAACCATTCCATAGGTAATATACCGATAAGGAAGTTCAACTTCCATGTGTTGTCTTGCTTTTCGAACATCATCACATGGTATATTGAAGATTTTACAGGCTAAAGGTATGGTGATCTTTTTCATTATATCTCTGACTATTAGTACAAATACCATCCCGATGAGGATCCGCAATATGGCTTTTCCACACAGAGTGACAGTAATGGGGGGCCTAGCTAATGGTAGAATATCCAGAGAAGGATCTAATATTAGACCCAGATTATAGGTAACATGAGATCCACATGCAATTCCAGCACCACTTCCTAGAATCTCAGCTGTGTCTCCTCGGGATGTACTCCAGGTATCAAGAGTGAAAGAAAAGATCCCCAAGGCTAAGTGAAGCCCGATGATGATTAATGGAGCATATTTGTGAGTTTGATTGAAGTTGTCAATCAGGTCCACAAACGGATAGAAGATAGCTAAGATTAAAATGGTATATAGGAATCCAGCAATAATATCCTGGGAAAAGAGAAGAGTAGAGTTGTTTAGTATAATACTGTTTTTGACATTTAAAAATGTATATTTCACATTATAAATGTTAATAAATTTTTAAAATGTCACATTTTCAAAGTAAACTTTACTGACCATGTAAGTAATAAGACTTTTAGTGATAATAAAAAGATCAATTTGACAATAATAATGAAAGTACTGTTTTCATAATTCTACCTTTTTATAAATTAACTACATATATACTATATAAAAATTTATATTTAAATCCCCAACAATAAACTATGCCTAAATTGTGTAGTTTTGATTTCTGGGGGAAAAAAAAGACTAACAGCTGACCCTTAAACAACATGAGGATAAGGGGTACCAACCCCCAACACAGTGAAAAATTCACATAAATTCACAGTGGAAAATTCACTTTGACTCCCCCAAACCTTAACTGATAGCCTACTGTTGACCCGAAGCCTTAACCGACAGCTGTGTGATTATACAGTTTATCCATTTTCCCACTGATGGTCATTTAAGTGGTTTACACATTTTGGATTAGTTTATTGGTTATGGTTGAGCTCTTGAGCTCGAGTGCTTTCTTAATTGGTATCTATTCTTAAGCCAACCAGGGATACTATAAACAGTGCTACTATGTTCTTGGTTTCAGTGTTGCCTGGTATGGGTCTGCAAGTTTCCTAGGAACAGAATGGCAGAATCATAGGATAAATGCATGCTCAATTTTATAAGACAATAAAAAAATTTCCAAAATGTTTATAAAAATTTACATCCCATCAGTTGTTGGTATTTCTTGTTGTTTAACTTAGATTTTCCTGATTATTATCTTTTCATAAGTTTACGGGTTATTCCTTTTCTGTGTAATGTATATTTGTGTCTTTTTGCAGCTGTTCTTTTAGATTTTCTCTTTTCTTGCTGATTTACATGATTTTTTTCAGATGGTCTATAAATCCTTTATATAAAATCTTTTATCAATAATATGTTCTGTAAGCATCTTTTTTTGGATTTTGTGGCCTGCCTTTTCATTTTCTTTATGGCATCTTTTGATGAACAGAAGTTCTAAATTTTAATGTCATATTTATCATTATTTCTTTTTTAAGAAAGCCTTCCTGCCACAAGATCCATAAAGGTATGTTATTCAAAAGTTTTGAAGTTTTGAAGTTTGCCTTTTACACTTACGACTGAAGTATACTCCCAAATTCCTGCCATTGTACTCACTGTGCAGCAGTTCTATAAAAACTTTATCATGGATCAGCAAAGTCAACTGCACAATGCATTGTTCTAAACAATATAAAATTCTAAATCAGAATATTATGAAAATAATAGCTAAAAATAGAGACAATTACTAAAGAGAGTAAGAACTGCATATGCAGCTAAAATTTTTGAGGAAATTATCCTCTTTAACACCACCTTCCTAGGAAGCTTAGCACGTTGTAAACACTCAAATATTTACTGGATGAATGAATAAATGAATCCTTTACAGGAATTTATCTATTCTTTTTTTAATTTTTTTTTTAAAGATTTTATTTATTTATTCATGAAAAAGAGAGAGAGAGAGGCAGAGGGAGAAGCAGGCTCCCAAGGAGCAGGGAGCCCAATGCAGGACTCGATCCCAGGACCCTGGGATCATGACCTGAGCCGAAGGCAGACGCTTAACCATCTGAGCCACCCAGGCGCCCGGAATTTATCTATTCTAACAAAATCTACTAAATCACTTGAAAGTGAATATCTTTATTCTTTTTTTCAACAATTACAACTATCATTAGGAAAGCATTTTTAAAATTTATTTCTATATAGAACAAGTTTTCGTGGATATTTTCCAATGCTAAAATATGAAAGGAGATTATTTAAAAGTAATTGTGTTCTCTTTATATAAGTGCTTTTATAGTAGGCGAAAGAAAGATATAATCACTTAGCAAAATGTTTATGAAAGTATGAACTAAGACCATAAATATCACTTGTGGGCGCCTGGGTGGCTCAGTTGGTTGGGTGACTGCCTTCAGCTCAGGTCATGATCCTGGAGTCCCAGGATCGAGTCCCGCATCGGGCTCCCTGCTCAGCGGGGAGTCTGCTTCTCCCTCTAACCCTCCCCACTCTCATGCTCTATCTCATTCTCTCTCTCAAATAAATAAAATCTTTAAAAAAATAAATAAATAAATATCACTTGTGTATTCAAACTCCTTAGAAGGACATATAGAGCATTTCACATCTGACTTCTGTCTAGCCTAATGCTTCAGTGGAGCATGTGACTCTTGATCTCAGGGTTTTGAGTTCGAGCCCCATGTTGGGTACAGAGATTACTTAAAAATAAAAAAACCTTAAAAGTAAAAATAACGCTTCAATGCCAGATCCCATAATGAATTTATAGACTATTTTCTGTCATCTCAGAATTACCTTTCCTTCTATATTTTAGGCAAACCATTACATCATACCCTTTGAGATTCTGCTCAGGCATCTATCGCCTCCATAAACTTTCTCTTCCTACTCCATAATAAGGAATTTCCTCCTCTTTACCTCCATGGCATCTCCTACAAACCTGCTACAACAGTTACCACATTTCTTTGCTTTCTATTTTTACCAGAAAACCAAAGGTTCACAACTCCTGTGCCCTTTAAAAATCGCTCAGGAACTTTACAAATATTGATGCCTGGGCCAATCCTCAGAGATTTTGAGTGAATTGAAGTGGGAGTAGGGCATCAATTTTTTTTTTTTTTAAAAGCTCCCCAGTGATTCCATTTTGCAGCCGCAGTTAAGAATCACTATTTTACATATTTATATTACATATTACATGTTTAGTGATTTCTCAAAGGCAAAGACTTTATCTTATTTATACATATATACCCAATGGCTGGCACACAGTAAGCAGGCAATATTTGGTTAGTTAAACTGAGACAGAGGAATTCTTTAGACTTATCATATTGATTATATGATCTTGCTTGATAAGAACTCTGTAAGAGAAATAGATGAAACTTCTTTCAACTTATTTCAAAAAATAGATGAAACTAATTTTTTTTTAACTTAGGCTAAAGACATTTTCAGGGAATAATATTTTCTGTACTGAAGATACTGTTGTAATACTTTATTTTTAGTGTCATATTTGATCCTCACAAACACCCTGATATGTCTCACCAATCTTATTTTGCTCTTTTGTCCCCAGAATATTAAAAGTGTCTTTTGTCCCCTTTCAAGGAATCCAAATTTGATAAAAATTTATGGTTACATTACCAGTTTTTAAATAAAGAAAACTGGACTACTGTCATAGAGCTAGGTATTTAATCTCATAAATTGAAGGTGCTCAATACATTTGTTGAAAAAAAGAATATTCTCAGCATTAGGAATTAAATATTGGAGTGAAAATCTAAATTTTCAACATTTTTTTGAACATGAGGTCTTCCATGAAAATTCACTGGTACAACTAAAAGTTACCTAAGAATTCTTATTAATTGAATTTTACTGCAGTTACTCAGATTCCAGAAGTGCCCCAAATTCTGACCATGCTTTTGGATATGGAGCTGTCAAATTACGTGACTGTCAAACCTCTATTCTTCATATTTCAAATCACTAATTGCCAAATAATTACACTTTTATGAGGTCATGTTCCTTTGGTTGCTCTCTTACCCTTTCTTCCCTGCCTTATAATCAAAGGCGCAGGTCTTGTGAAATAACAGGATTTTGGCTACCAGGATAAAAGCTGCTGCTTTATTTCTTATTAAATTTCATGACTGATTCAAAATTTTCAGAATATGCTAATGTGGAAGTGTTCTGAGCCTTGTAATTCTCACATAGAATGTGTAACAAGTTAGAAGTTTTAAATAAATGACAATGAGTTTTTTACATAAAACCATATATAATACGTAAGGTTAAGTGAAAGGAAGGGTTAATAGCTCTGAAGTTAGCTAATTTTTTTTAATTATAGACTTTTCAGACCATAGATAGCCGTACATGTTCATTCCTATATTTTTTACAGTACCTTAAAAAATGAAAAAAAAAATCAAATGACTTGAGACTTTTTTACATTTGATCACTTTTTTCTATTATTATTTAAGTTTTTATTTATTCATTTATTTAAGTAATCTCTACACCCAATGTGGGGTTTAAGCTCACAACCCCAAGATCAAGAGTCACACACTCCTCTGACTGAACCAGCAAGGCGCCCCCTACATTTGATCACTTTTAAGAATTCTTGGGGCACCTGGGTGGCTCAATCGTTAAGCGTCTGCCTTCAGCTCAGGTCGTGATCCCAGGGTCCTGGGATTGAGCCCTGCATCGGGCTCCCTGCTCGGTGGGAAGCCTGCTTCTCCCTCTCCCACTCCCCTGCTTGTGTTCCCTCTATTGCTGTGTCTCTCTCTGTCAAATAAATAAATAAAATTAAAAAAAAAAAGAATTCTTTAAAATAATTCATAAAAATTATAATTCTAGAAGTATATTTCAGTATAACACAAAATATCCAATAATTGTTGTCCTCTACTTTTTTTGTAGAGCTCCAGGAATATTAAACTTAGATTGTTAGAAGACTCTCTACAAATCTACCTCCTTTTCAGATTGAGTTATTATTTATGATATTACCCTAAGTAGTTAAGGGCAAACTGAACTTCCATGCAACAGAACCAGAAGGAAGGAACAACTGAATTCAGGACATAAACATGACGACTATCATTGTGATATCAATTTAATGTATAACCTTAAAATGTATACTAAGTGGTTTTAAGCATTATAGCACAAAGTATGCAATAAAGAAAAAATGTTAAAGGTAACAAAAAGAACTTAGAATAGCAAATTTTCCAAAAAAACCTTAGCAAATAATTTTAGATACCAATTAGTTATAGATAACTTATATGCCCTCAAGTTAATAGATAATACACCTTTGAATGGAATATTCAAGGTTATCAAATTTGTGGTAGAAAATAACAAATACCATAAATTCAATAAAGATTTACTACATATTAAATCTAAAGTTTTATCCTTTTCATTTCTTCTGATCAGGAAATAGACCTAGAGAGGCAGGCTGGTGATTTGCTGAGATTAGAATTCAGGACTCCTGTCATGTCCTAGTTGGTGTTGGGTTTTTTCAATTATAAACATATTAGGAGTCCTACTTCTAATTTCAATACACCAGTGATGCCAGCAGTTTCAAACAACAAAATGTATTGTTGGAATGCATTTTATTTCATTATAAAGGCACTATTAAGGAGAGATTTTGGAATGTTTATCTTTAATTAAAATTCAAATTTAGTATGTAATCATTATAGAAAAATTAGAAAATACAGATTAACAGTAACAAGTAGTTATTACCCAGGAATAGCCACTATTAAGACTCTCAGTGTTGACTGTTCTAGATCTTTCTTTATAAGATGTTTCTCGTTTTTAGGGCCCCTGGGTAGCTCAGTCATTAAGCATCTGCCTTCAGCTCAGGTCATGATCCCAGGGTCCTGGGATTGAGCCCCACATCGGGCTCCCTGCTCGGCGGGAAGCCTGCTTCTCCCTCTCCCACTCCCCCTGCTTGTGTTCCCTCTCTCGCTGTGTCTCTATCAAATAAATAAATAAAATATTAAAAAAAAAAAGATGTTTCTCGTTTTTGGGGGGTTGTTTGGTTGGTTTGATGTTTATTTCTTGTTACGAAAGTGGGTTTGAGGGGTATGTACTACTTTATAATCTCATCTTTTTAAAAAGACTTTCCACATTATAAACTTTCAGTACAATTTTGGGTAAATGGATTTACAACACATTCATAATTTTACATTATTATTTCTACATAATGTAGAAACAAAATAGAAGTTTGACAAGTACTCAGTCTAGTAACTTAAAATGACCTGCATTTTTATGAATTTAAATTTTGAGAGATAGGTTTTAATAATAAATAAAGAAAAAACAGATGTAGTAACTCCTCTATATTTTTCACGGAATTAAGAAAATCAATTTATGAAGGTAGGTAGATGTTGGAAATAAACTAGGCTGTTGCTCTTTGTGTTGTAACAATAACAACAAAGCTTATGGCAAATAGTGAATGAAGTGTACATTATAAATTATTTAGAACACATTATCAGAACTCTCTTCTTATGTTAATGAAGACATCCGCTTAGATAATATGGTATCTAAGCACCTACTGGCAACTTGTAGGGCACACACTGCCTACCTATAGTTCCATACTAATTTCACAATAAATAGTAAGATACAAATTATGGCTAAGAAAATAGTTCAAAACACAGGTAATTACTGAAACATTAAAATATAGGAAAAAGCAAAAATTGTGGGAATACATTAGATCCATAATGTAAAAAAAGGGGGTGTTCATTATAGGTATAATTTCATACATCAACTAGCAAATGATAAGAAGCAATGTATTATTGATTAGGAAAAATTGTGGTCATAACACAGGGCATAATTTACATGTTTGCAAGTTACCCATGATTTTACTTTTAAAAGGAAAACAAAAATTTGTAATACTACACATAATAAAATTCAGTAGCTAGTCTGAATAAAACTGATGAAACAGTCTATGGGACAAGAAGGTTTTTGAATAAAGGACTAGGGTTATCAGATGCATGATCTAAAAAATAATACATCAATATTGTTTTTACATCAGCTGATTTAAAAATAGACATCCAGTATGTAAAAACTGAATGGAACTCAGCTTGAATATTTGACCAATCCACTAAACATCTGTTTTTTAAAGAACACATCTTTTAGATTATATATTCAATATAATCAGATTCTTATTACTCTTTTTATTATGATAATGAACCTAGGGGTAATATAATCTAATATCTTTTCCTTCAAGAAATATCAGGGATCCATTTTTTATCATTCAAAGATGCATAACCATTCGGTAGTTTTTTAGGAATAATATTACTAACTTTTGGGATTGGAAGGAAATAACTAACAAGGCACAGAACTGGATAACATTTTCTCTTGACAAATATTAGATCTGACCTAAAAATATGATACTTAGTTTCATTATAAAATTAGTAGAGATTAGTCAGAATTATATGTAAATTCACAATTCATATTAATACAAATAATTATAAAAAGTTGAACATCAATAATTTGCTTATTAAAATAGCATTTGTGACTTCTGGAAATTTACTAGTAAAGGGGCAGCTTCTGAAGGTAAGCAATCTAAGTAAAAAATAGAAACCCAGTATTTCTACAGCTATGAAACAAGTTAAGTAAATATTTTTATGAGTAGAAAATTCTAAAAGGACAAGAAAAATTTGTAACCAGTTATAAATTTTTGGATTCCATGAGTTAGTTCATATTTACTTTTTTTCTGATCCTTTATCTACAAAATACATAATACATTCAAAGACTGTACTAAGAGACACCACACTAGATGCAAGGGACAGAGAGAAAACATAGTTACTTTTCTTATGTTGCTTATTGTCTAGTGGGGGTAACAGATTAAAAAAAAAAAGCAATTGCAGTTTAGCATAAGTGCTGTGCCAGAATTATGCTCAAGATGCTCTGGGAGAAAGGTCACCTAACCAGTCTAGAGAAAGGAAAGATGGGGAATGTTATAAGGCTTTTAGGAGATAAGAACGTTTTCGTGACTCTTAAAGAATGGATAAGATAGTTAGCTAGACAAAGAAAGAAAAAAGGGTATTCCAAGCAGAAGTTACAGCATTCCCAAAGGTATGGAGATAAGAAAACACCATTCACATATGAGTAAACATAAGTCATTCAGTATGGCATCATATTTGTGTTTTGTAAGTAAACTACAACAGGAGACTAAACACTGTATGGAGTGATGTCAGACTGGAAGTAGGGCTACAAATGAAGCTATTACAGTAATCGGGTGAAGAGATGATGCAAGCTAGAATTAAATGCCAATGGGAAGAGGAGGAAGGGAGGTGAGTAGGCGTGGCTAAAGAGGGTACCTTGCTGCTTTTTTAAATTGAATAGCATTCTCAAAATAAAATAACTGATGTAAGCACAAAAATACTGTTGGGAAAAAGAAGAAAACTAGAATTTAATATGTCAATATAAGTGATTTAAGTTCATGTAGTTTCTAGTCACTGGGTGTTCACTGATTAGAGCTTTCCCTGATTTCTGTATTGTTGGTTTTCACTCAAAGAGGCAGAGAAGAGAATGAGAAGGAAAATCAAACTGAGACTGGAAGGAGGGAGAAACCTTATCCTGAGCATAATATTTGGTTATTTGTGATTGCTGGGAACTGTTTCCACAAAATACATGATTATTAAGTTAAATGTTCACAAAACATCATGTTAATATACATATATATTATATATATTAATATATATATTATACACACACATATATATTTTTGCAAAACGAAGATTTATAATAATATTTTCTCAAGTTTCCTGTAAGTTTGAAAATGATTAAAAACTATAAAATTGCCTGTCAATTTCAGAAAAAAACAAAGCACTATGAACACAATGTTTTCCTTACCAGAATGGAGTGCATTCCCATGTAAATTCTACTTAGGCAAACTAGAGAACACCAGCAGGGAATAAGAATCAATCCATATATAAGAGGATACTAAAGGGGAAAAAAAGTAAAATTAGTTAAATAAGGTTAAATTTAAACAAGGAAATAAAAAACAAATTACTATACCATAATATAACTCCACAAAAACAAGAACTGTGTTTTTACTCCCCACTGTATTCCTAGCACCTAAACCTAAGCATGGCACATAGCAGACATTCAAGAAATACTTTTGCAGGGGTGCCTGGGTGACTCAGTTGGTTAAATGTCTGACTTTTGATTTTGGCTCAAGTCACAATCTCAGGGTTGTGAGATCGGGCCCTGCTTAAGATTCTCTCTCTCCCTCCCCACCTTCTCCGTCCCCTCCCCCGGCCCCGTTTGTGCTCACTCTCTCCCTCAAAAAAACAAAACTAAACAAAAACTTTTGCATGACTGAACAAATGAATGAAATCTGGGGTTTCTACACTCTTTATTGCGAGACCTGGCTCATTTTCGTTTCTATAGTAAAGACTTAATCACTGGCATGCTGCAGAAGAAAAACAGGACATATTTTTCATGGAGCTCCAAAATGAAATACCTCTGAGATTGTGCTTGAATCTGATCCATGTAAGTGTCTCTGCTTCCCTGGGGAGGAAGACTGAGCATTATCTCCCTCTCCGTTCCATCAGTGACTGCTATTTGTAGTTTCTGTTGGTACTGCCCCATCTTGTATTCAATATTCATCACCCTGTAACTGGTTTTCCACTTCTGCCCCTCCACTAAAATTTCAAATGGTAACCTTTTTGAGAATAATTGTGGGGGGACACTGGGATCAGAAAGTCATAAAAAGGGAGAAAACATAAAATGTAGACAACTCTTGGTATCAAAGGCATTAGTGTTAAGACTTGGCTTTGAATCTCCTTATATTAGAAGGAAAGTGGAAATGACGGATGGACACAGTGGCAAGTTTGTAAAGGAAGAAGGAAGGGGACACAGTTGAGGCAGTTTATGCCCTATAACTTCAAATTTCTCCGTGAAATTGAAGCCAAGGTGGTTCAACTCAATAAGAAATCAATGTGGTTCAATAAGAAGTGGGGTTAAAAGAAGGGATTTAGTAAGGCTGCAAGAAGAATGGTAAAGATTTAGTACATAGTTGTTTTGATTTGACTTTTCTACTATATTTGACATAGCTACCACTTTCCTGAGAGTCTAAATACCCTTGATTTCTATAGTATCACATTGTTTCCTCTTTCACCATCTTTTTTTTTTTTCTGTGTTTCCCACACAAGAGCTTATCTTCCTCTTCTTGTTCCTTAAACACTGACATCAATAAATAAGGATTCTGCCCTTAGCAGTTCTTGGTAGTCTCAGCTTTTCTTATCTTTTAACTACTACTTCGCATGCTGAAGACCTATCCATTTCCTTGTGTTAAGAACTGTATGGCCAGGGGCACCTGGGTGGCTCAGTTGGTTAAGTGACTGCCTTCAGCTCAGGTCATGATCCCGGAGTGCCGGGATCGAGTCCCACATCAGACTCCCTGCTCAGCGGGGAGTCTGCTTCTCCCTCTGACCCTCTCCCCTGTCATGCTCTCTCTCACTCTCTCTCTCAAATAAATGAAATCTTTCTCTCAAATAAATAAATAAAATCTTTAAAAAAAAAGATTTAAAAAAAAGAAAAAAAAAACTATATGGCCAAGGCCTGCACCTGCACCTTCTACTGCACATATGTCTCTATGGAGTTAATTAAACCCACTATACTTCAAACCAATGTCATCATCCTACCACCCAAACTTGTTCCTCCTCTCATATTCCCTATTTCATTTGGAAACCTCATAATCCACATAATAATCTAAATGAGAAACATGAATTATCCTTGATTCCTTCCTTATCCCTCATATTCAACCAATAATCACGTCTTGCTTATTTCACCTTCTAAATATTTCTTGATTCTATCTCTTTTCCACTCTCCTTAAACTGTCCTTATTCAGATCCTCATAGTTTCTTTTCTAGGCTCTACCTATTTCTCCAGCCATTCTTCCACATGCATGAGGAATTTGGTTAATGGGGCAGACAGACATATAACTATATAATGAGGTAAGTGCTATTAGAGTACACTAAAAATTCTGAGGGATTCTAAGGGATGGGCACTTAACTTAAAGATGTTAACAAAGTCACCCAGATTAAGTAAGATCCAAGTTGTCCTGAGAGATGAGTAGGATTTAATCTTTAGAAAAAAGGAGTACAGGGCAAAAAAGATAAAAGGCACTGTAAACAGCAGGAACACCATGAACAAAGGCTTGTGCAAGGGCAAGAAATTGGTTTTCTAGGAGAATAAGCTTACACTCTAGCTGGGGGAAGGCACTAAATAGTGAAGATAAAATACGCAAATTATATGATATTTAAAGATATATAAATTATGTAAGATGTGTTAAGTACTATGTGTTCAAGTGTGTTAAGTACTATGGAGAAATACAAAGAGAACAGGTGTTGAAACAGTAATGTTCATCAGATATTCCTTATGCTCCTCTACATTTTCAGGTTCATTTGCAGTTAGATTGGGACTATGTGACTAGTTTAGCCAATGAGCTGGGGAAAAGGACTTATGCCTCTTTCAGTCATACTGTGATCTCTCTCTTCCTTATAGATGCAACCCTGGAAGCCACATGCTGATAATGTATCACAAGACAGGCAAACTTCCATCAGCCTGGGTCCCTAAAGTCCAGATGATTTCACTGGTGAATTTTACCAAACATTTTTAAAAATTTTAATATCAACCTTAGGGAATACTTCCTAACTCATTCATGAGGCCATTATTACCCTGCTATCAAAACCAGACAAAAACATCACAAGAAAACTACAGACAAATATCCCTTGTAAATACAGGTGCAAAAATCTTCTACAAAATATTAGCAAACCAAATCCAACAGCTCATTAAAAGTATTATACACCATGATGTATGGTGTGGGATTTATCCCCGAAATGCAAGGGTGGTTCCACAAAGAAAAATCAATGTAATACATCACACTAATAGAATTAAGAAAAAAATACCCATGATCATCCTTCATAATAAAAGCACTCAAAAAACTAGGAAAGAAGGGAATTTCTTCAACATGATAAAGGGCATTTATGAACTACCTAAAGATAACATACTTAATGGTGACAGACTGAAAGCTTTCTCTTCAAGATGAGAAAGACATCTACCTCTCACTGCTGCTAACACTGTATTATAAGTTCTAGGCAGAACAGTTAGGCAAGAAAAAGAAATAAAAGACATCTAAATTGGAAAGGACAAAGTAAAACTATCTTTACTTACAGATAACATGATTGTAAAAAAAAAAGAAAAAGAAAATCACAAAAGAATCCGCAAAAAACTACTAGAGTTAATAAATGAATTCAGCAAAGTTGCAGGGCACAAGATCAACACACACAAATCAGTTCTGTTCTATACACCAGCACTGAACAATCTGAAAAGGAATTTAAGAAAATTCAATTTATGATAGCATCCAAAAGGATAAAATACCTAGTAATAAATTTAACCAAGTAAGTAAAAGACTGGTACACTGAAAGCTATAAAACATTAATGGAAGAAGTTACAGACCTTATCTTTGACATGGGATATATTTATGCATTAGGATATAGTAAATATTATCATATTCTCTATATGTAATATATGTATATATGTAATATATATGTACATATATAAAAATACTAGTATTTATTTTAATTATTGTCTCTTTCCTCAAGAATGTAAGTTCCATGGGGGCAGAAACTTCAATCTGTTTTGTTCACTGCTGTATTATCAGTGACTACAACAGTGTCTCCATCTAGTAGGCAGTCAATAAATACTTGCTAAACGAAGTAAACATAAGCCTTCAGCCTCGGAAGGGTATCAGTCTTACCTTACCACATTCATGATAACCTTGGGGTCAAAGGCCTGGCCTCAAACCTGGGCCACCTTAACCTTTAGTTCTAAGAGCATCTCTGGAATCCATCACAATAAATTGCAATCTGAAAATCCTTTTGAGTAAACTTAGGGAATTTCCAATGCTTGTTTTATTTATTTATTTATTTATTTATTACTCAAAGTCTACTGATTTATTTTTTAACAAGTGTAAGATCTTTATTTCTTTATTAACATGTAATGTATTATTTGTTTCAGGGGTACAGGTCTGTGATTCATCAGTCTTACACAATTCACAGCGCTCATCATAGTACTTACCATCCACAGTGTCCATCACCCATCCCTCCCACCCCCCTCCACTCCTAAAACCCTCAGTTTGTTTCCTGAGATTAAGAGTCTCTTATGGTTTGTCTCCCTCTCTGGTTTCGTCTTATTTCATTTTTCCCCTCCCTTCCCCTATGATCCTGTGTCTTGCTTCTCAAATTCTTCATATCAGTGAGATCATATACTTGTCTTTCTCTGATTGACTTATTTCGCTTAGCATAATACCCTCTAGTTCCAGCCACGTCGTTGCAAATGGCAAGATTTCATTTTTTTTTTTGATGGCTATCCAATGCTTGTTTTAGAATAAACATTGTTAGGTAAGGATTCTGTAGCTTAAGCTTTTAAAACTATATACTTTCTAAAACAAAGTAACCAAATTGTATAGAAATAAAAACCATTTCCTACAATAGCACATTATGAACTATATTTTGTATACTAAAAGCAAAACAAAACAAAAAACTTATTCATAATAGCATGTTTTCCTTCATAGTACTTTCCACACCGGTAGGCTAGTGTGGTGTATAATAATATATGGGTTCAAAAAGGTAAAACAAAAACACAAACTGACCCATATGCAGTCATTTAATGTACACATTAAGATAAACATGTGAACTAAAACATTTTCAGCTCAATCTATCCTTTTGACCTATTCATATTTGGTGTCATCTTACTGTTTCTTTCAAACTCTGAAGTTACAAAGTATCAATTTAGCAACAGAACTCATCAAGTAAATATTAATTATAATTTTAAGTATATTTTTACTTAAAAACCACAATAAGGAAAGTATTGTTTTTTGTTTTTGTTTTTTATTTGACAGAGAGAGACACAGCGAGAGAGGGAACACAAGCAGG